AAGGAAGGTGTCATTCTTGAGATCAGGTAGGAAAGGTGTCATTCTTGAGACCAGGTGGGAAGGTATCATTCTTGAGACGGTAGGGAAGTGTCATTCTTGGAGATCAGGAGGGAAGGCTCAGACGGGTAGGATGTCATTCTTGAGATCAGGTAGGGAAGGTGTCATTCTTGAGATCAGGGTAGGGAAGGTATCATTCTTGAGATCAGGTAGGAAGGTCATTCTTGAGACTGTGGGTAGAAGGTGTCATTTTGATCAGGTAGAAGGTATCATTCTTGGAGATCAGGGTAGGAAGGTGTCATTCTGAGACAGAGGTAGGGAAGGTGTCATTCTGAGATCAGGTAGGTAAAGTTGGCTCTTAAGATGTATAGGGTGATCATTCTTGAGATCAGGGTAGGGAAGGTGTCACTCTTCAGATCAGGTAGGGAAGGTGTCATTCTTGAGATCAGGGTAGGGAAGGTACCATTCTTTGGAGACTAGGGTAGGGGAAGTCATTCTTGGAAATCAGTAGGGAAGGTCATTCTTGAGATCATGGGGTAGGGAAGGTCATTCTTGGAGATCAGGGTAGGGAAGGTGTCATTCTTGAGACAGGGTAGGGAAGGTGTCTTTCTTGAGATCAGGGTGGAAGGTATTCACTTGGAGATCAGGGAAGGTATCATTCTTGAGATCAGGGTAGGGAAGGTGTCATTCTTGAGATCAGGTAAGGAAGTGTCATTCTTGGAGACTGAGGAAGGGTGTGGATTCTTGAGATCAAGGTAGGAAGGTATCATCCTTGAGATCAGGGTAGGGAAGGCATCATTCTTGAGAACAGGTAGAAGGTGTCATTCTTGAGATCAGGTAGGGAAAGGTGTCATTCTTGGAGATCAGGGTAGGGAAGGTGTCATTCTGAGATCAGGGTAGGGAAGGTACCATTCTTGAGATCAAGGTAGGGAACGTACTTTCTTGAGATCAGGGTAGGAAGGTGTCATTCTTGGAATCAGGGTACGGAAGGTGTCATTCTTGAGATCAGGGTAGGGAAGGTACCATTCTTGAGATCAGGGTAGGGAAGGTACCATTCTTGAGATCAGGGTAGGGAAGGTATCATTCTTGAGATCAGGGTAGGGAAGTCATTCTTGATATCAGGTAGGGAAGGTGCATTCTTGAGATCAGGGTAGGGAAGGTGTCATTCTGAGATCAGGGTAGGGAAGGAAGGTGTCATTCTTGAGATCAGGGTAGGGAAGGTGTCATTCTTGATATCAGGGTAGGGAAGGTGTCATTCTTGAGATCAGGGTAGGGAAGGTATCATTCTGAGATCAGGGTAGGGAAGGTATCATTCTTGAGATCAGGTAGGGAAGGTATCATTCTTGAGATCAGGGTAGGGAAGGTGTCATTCTTGAGATCAGGTAGGGAAGGTGTCATTCTTGGAGATCAGGGTAGGAAGGAAGGTGTCATTCTTGAGATCAGGTAGGGAAGGTGTCATTCTTGATATCAGGGTAGGGAAGGTGTCATTCTTGAGATCAGGGGTATAGAAGGTGTCATTCTAGAGATCAGGAGTAGGAAGTGTCATTCTTGAGACTGTAGGGAAGGTGTCATTCTTGAGATCAGGAGTAGGGAAGTCATTCTTGAGATCAGGGTAGGGAAGGAGGCATTCTTGAGATCAGGGTAGGGAAGGTGTCATTCTTGAGATCAGGGGTAGGGAAGGTGTCATTCTGAGATCAGGTAGGGAAGGTGTCATTCTTGATATCAGGGTAGGGAAGGTTCATTCTTGAATCAGTAGGGAAGGTGTCATTCTTGAGATCAGGGTAGGGAAGGAAGGTGTCATTCTTGAGATCAGGGTAGGGGAAGTGCCTTCCTGGAGATCAGGGTAGGGAAGGTGTCATTCTTGAGATCAGGGTAGGGAAGGGAAGGTGTCATTCTTGAGATCAGGGTAGGGAAGGTGTCATTCTTGAGATCAGGGTAGGGTAGGAAGGTGTCATTCTTGAGATCAGGGTAGGGAAGGTGTCATTCTTGAGATCAGGTAGGGTAGGAAGGTGTCATTCTTGAGATCAGGGTAGGGAAGGAAGGTGTCATTCTTGATATCAGGGTGAAGGTGTCATTCTTGAGATCAGGGTATGGAAGGTGTCATTCTAGAGATCAGGGTGGGGAAGGTATCATTCTTGAGATCAGTGGGGAAGGTATCATTCTTGAGATCAGGGTAGGGAAGGTGTCATTCTTGAGATCAGGGTAGGGTAGGGAAGGTATGATTATATTGATCAGGGTAGGAAGGTGATCATTCTTGAGATCAGGGTAGGGAAGGTCATTCTTGAGATCAGGGTAGAGGAGTGTCATTCTTGAGATCAGGGTAGGAAGGTATCATTCTTGAGATCAGGGTGGGAAGGTATCATTCTTGAGCTCAGGGTAGGAAGGGAAGGTATCATTCTTGAAATCAGGGTAGGGAAGGTATCATTCTTGAGATCAGGGTGGGAAGGTGTTATTCTTGAGATCAGGAGGAAGGTATCATTCTTGAGATTAGGGAAGGGAAGGTATCATTTTGAGATCAGTGGGAAGGGAAGGTATGATTCTTGAGATCAGGGTGGGAAGGTGTCATTCTTGAGATCAGGGTGGGAAGGTGTTATTCTTGAGATCAGGGAGGAAGGTATCATTCTTGAGATTAGGGAAGGGAAGGTGTCATTCTTGAGATCAGGAAGGGAAGTGTCATTCTTGAGATCAGGGTAAGGAAGGTGTTATTCTTGAGATCAGGGAAGGGAAGGTATCATTCTTGAGATTAGGAAGGGAAGGTATCATTTTTGAGATCAGGGTAGGGAGGTGTCATTCTTGAGATGAGAAGGGATGGTATCATTCTTGAGATCAGGGAAGGGAAGGAATCATTCTTGAGATCAGGGAAGGAAGGTATCATTCTTGAGATCAGGGTAGGGAAGGTATCATTCTTGAGATCAGGGTAGGGAAGGTATTCTTGAGATCAGGAAGGAAAGGTATCATTCTTGAGATCAGGGTAGGGAAGGTATCATTTTGAGATCAGGGTAGGGAAGGTGTCATTCTTGAGATCAGGAAGAGGTGTCATTCTTGAGATCAGGGTAAGGAAGGTGTTATTCTTGAGATCAGGGTAGGGATGGTATCATTCTTGAGATTAGGGAAGGGAAGGTATCATTTTTGAGATCAGGGTAGGAAGGTGTCATTCTTGAGATGAGGGAAGGGATGGTATCATTCTTGAGATCAGAAGGGAAGGAATCATTCTTGAGATCAGGAAGGGAAGGTATCATTCTTGAGATCAGGAAGGAAGGTGTCATTCTTGAGATCAGGGTAGGGAAGGTTGTCACTCTTCAGATCAGGGAAGGGAAGGTGTCATTCTTAAGATCAGGGTAGGGAAGGTGTAATTCTTGAGAATAGGTTAGGGAAGGTATCATTCTTGAGATCAGGGTAGGGAAGGTGTCATTCTTGAGATCAGGAAGGAAGGAAAAAGTTGAGATCAGGAAGGAAGGTGTCATTCTTAAGATCAGGGTAGGGGTGTAATTCTTGAGAATAGGTTAGGGAAGGTATCATTCTTGAGATCAGGGTAGGGAAGGTGTCATTCTTGAGATCAGGGTAGGGAAGGTTGTCACTCTTGAGATCAGGGAAGGGAAGGTGTCATTCTTACGATCAGGGTAGGGAAGGTGTCATTCTTGAGAATAGGTTAGGGAAGGTATCATTCCCGAGATCAGGGTAGGGAAGGTATCATTCTTGAGATCAGGTTAGGGAAGGCATCATTCTTGAGATCAGGGTAGGGAAGGTATCATTCTTAAATAACTGATGGAGAAGGTGTCAATTGCAACTGTAGAATAAGTGGGCATTCTCATATTGCTGAGTAAAATGTAAAGACATTTGACAAATTTGACCCAAAACTTTTCAGGAAACAGAGACGCACACACACACAATGAAGTTTGTTTACACTATCCCGTGGAAGGTTATCGGGAGCAGAGGTTTAGATATCACTAATAGTTCCTACATGATATCCTAAAGGAGTCCCTGCATGATATCCTAAAGGAGTCCCTGCATGATATCCTAAAGAAAAAGTTTTAAAATATAAGAAAAGAACATTTATAGAGATGGTGATAAAAGATCTTAATAATACTGAAAAAAGTCCGTAACAACGAAGGAGCAACAGATGGAATGACTGTACCGGTTACAACATTATTAAAAATAGCTTCCCAGAGAGCAGAGACTAGTTGGGTGGATACATTAAAAACAGGTATCTTAAAAGGGTGAAACCTTCGAGTGATGGTGAGTACTGCTGGCTGAGTAGCTAACCTTGCCGGAATGTGAAACTTCAACTTATCTGGAGTTAACTAAAGTCCTTGGATGGGTCGAACTCTTGTATCGATGAATCATAGACTGGCGCCTTATAGTGCTTTAACCATCTTCGAGTGCCCTTTAATCCACCTCTGCTGTGTTTGAAGGACCTTTCATCCACCTCTGCTGTGTTTGAAGGACCTTTAATCCACCTCTGCTGTGTTTGAAGGACCTTTCATCCATCTCTGCTGTGTTTGAAGGACCTTTAATCCACCTCTGCTGTGTTTGAAGGACCTTTCATCCACCTCTGCGGTGTTTGAAGGACCTTTCATCCATCTCTGCTGTGTTCGAAGGATCTTTCATCCACCTCTGCTGTGTTTGAAGGACCTTTCATCCACCTCTGCTGTGTTTGAAGGACCTTTCATCCACCTCTGCGGTGTTTGAAGGACCTTTCATCCATCTCTGCTGTGTTCGAAGGATCTTTCATCCACCTCTGCGGTGTTTGAAGGACCTTTCATCCAGCTCTGCTGTGTTCGAAGGATCTTTCATCCACCTCTGCTGTGTTTGAAGGACCTTTCATCCACCTCTGCGGTGTTTGAAGGACCTTTCATCCACCTCTGCTGTGTTCGAAGGACCTTCCATCCACCTCTGCTGTGTTTGAAAGACTTTTCATCCACCTCTGCTGCATGTGGAGAGTTATTTAACCAGCTGTGATGTGAACCAGGGACCTGTGACTTACTCTTCAATGAGTGAATTACCTTTGCTGTGGACGATGGACTTCCTGCTGGCCTTGGACCGCGCCGTGATGCCGTAGTTGATACCGAGCTGCTGTAGGAAGACGGAAGCGTCGTCATCGTCGTCTTCGTCTCCCCCGCTTCCCTGTATCTCGATGGTCGGCACAGTGCAGTCCCTGAGGCAACACTGGCTGGTTAGTTAAATCTCAAGGTATTACAGCTTAGCTCCTTAGTCAGCTGCATTTATTTCTACATGTATGGAAGTATAATGCATGTATGTATGTATGTATTACCAACAAGGAAAAAAGCTGCAACCGTTCATACCCTGGCTTATATACTGTACGCTCCACACGACAACCCTCAATAATAACTGTCTTAGAGGCTAAAGTCAAGGTCACACACACACTACACTACTGTACCTGGCGTGAGTAAGGACTGAACACCTCCCCCTAATAACAACCTGTGTAATATTGCCTCAGTATAAATGGTGTATAACATCAGCATATTATTTCCTTAGTCATGATAGTTTTGACCTTGGTGTTATTAATGACAGTGGCAGAGATTAGGAGTTGGTGTTTTTGTCTTAATAAGTTTTGATAATCGGAGGATGTCAATTAGCCAAGTTTAATATTGATTTACTAAATACTGTATATATTCAGGGTCTTCTACTGCCTTATAAGTCTTCTGTAATAAGCACTGTCTGATGTTTAATTGATGACACAATATATAACACACACACACACACACACACACACACACACACACACACTCGACCATGCCGGACTCATAAAGTAGTGAAGGAGGTAATAGGTGGCAGAGGTAGTGAAGGATGAGTACCAGGTGGGGCAGCAGGTGGTGGAGCTGGTGAAACAGGTGTAATTTAGATGACAGGTGGTGCATGAGGATTCCCAGGTGGTGCAGGAAATATCATAACAGGTGAAGAACAGCTGGTGGAGAAGTAAAAGACAAACAGGTGGTAGAGAAGAGGTGATCCAGATGATAAAAGGCGCCAGCTGACATACTAAAGCCAACAGGTGGTGAAGTACAATTAACAGGTAGTACGATAAAGGTAACAAGCCGTAACGTGCAACAGGTGGTGGGATAAAGGTGGCACAACAGGTGGTGGGATAAAGGTGGCACAACAGGTGGTGGGGTGGACGTACAGCTGGTGTGGAGTTTGGGTCTGGTCGGTCATGTTGTTGTCACAGCCTCGGGCCATCCTGCTTCTCACGCCTTACATCACGGTAACGCTCTGCTCCCTGTAACACATAGTAACATGTTAATAACGATCTCCTTCACACTCTGTAACACATAGTAACATGTTAATAACGATCTCCTCCACACTCTGTAACACATAGTAACATGTTAATAACGATCTCCTCCACACTCTGTAACACATAGTAACATGTTAATAACGATCTCCTCCACACTCTGTAACACATAGTAACATGTTAATAACGATCTCCTCCACACTCTGTAACACATAGTAACATGTTAATAACGATCTCCTCCACACTCTGTAACACATAGTAACATGTTAATAACGATCTCCTCCACACTCTGTAACACATAGTAACATGTTAATAACGATCTCCTCCACACTCTGTAACACTGATCTCCTACACTCTGTAACATAGTAACATGTTAATAACGATCTCCTCCACACTCTGTAACACATAGTAACATGTTAATAACGATCTCCTCCACACTCTGTAACACATAGTAACATGTTAATAACGATCTCCTCCACACTCTGTAACACATAGTAACATGTTAATAACGATCTCCTTCACACTCTGTAACACATAGTAACATGTTAATAACGATCTCCTTCACACTCTGTAACACATAGTAACATGTTAATAACGATCTCCTCCACACTCTGTAACACATAGTAACATGTTAATAACGATCTCCTTCACACTCTGTAACACATAGTAACATGTTAATAACGATCTCCTCCACACTCTGTAACACATAGTGGCATGCTAGTAACACCCACACGCACACCATGTATATATCACAGTAATAACATGTAAGTAATACACACACACATTATTTAACTCATATATACAAGTACATGAGCAATAATAACAGAAGACAGGTGATAGATAACTATAACAGAGGTAAACACTCGACAACAGACACACCCAAGACTCGATCGTTTTATTTATTATTTTTATCATCCACAAGTTTCCCATTGGTTACTTGCTTATACGAGGATGGCCGGCCCAAGGGCCACCTAGGCGTGAATTTGTTTAAGGTGTAGAAGCTGTCGCCAACACAACAACCAAACGCTGAGTTAACGGGCTGCATGACCCAGTGTCAAGGGATAGTCCAAGAAGACCGGACAACTCGCCAACTGCACTGGCTAACCATTACACCGAAACACGATCCGCACATCGATTAACATCCAGGTTCCCAATTACTGCTGGGTAGACAGAGGCAAATGGCGTAAAGAAAATTGCCCATAGTTTCATCCTGCCCGGGGATCGAACAAGGGACTTCTCGCTTACGAGGCGAGCATGCTGACCATTACACCACAGATCACATACATACATATAGAGCGTCCGTTTAATAGTAAACTACCTGCAGTATTACCACACAGCAGGTAGTAACAGGCGGCACTTCCTGGACAGTCTGACACACACAAACACACCTCTCGTCCCTAATTATAATTCATCAATATATGCGGCTGTTGGTGCAGTATGATAGCCTACACTCCCCTCCCTCATACACCCTCCCCTCCCTCCCTCATACACCCTCCCTCCCTCCCCATACACCTCCCCCCTACCTCCCTACACCCTCCCTCCCTCCCTCATACACCCTCCCCTCCCTCACCTCACACACCATCCTCCCTCCTCTCTCCTGACATGGTAAACGATAACTCACCAATCAGCACACGCCAGGCCCGCAAACACGTGGACTTTTTTTTTCTCTTTGACTAAGGAGCGTCAGAGCCCCCGGGAAGGTCAGACAAGGTGAAGACTTTGTATTTTTTTGATGGGTTACCTGAGTCAAGTTAATTAATCTCTGGCTTAATTCTATTGCCTTTACCTGCTGACACGAAAGTCTCTTAAGTGAAGGTAAAAATTACTCTCTCTCTCTCTCTCTCTCTCTCACAACACACGCAGAAGGTAACAACTCTGTGGGAAGACAACGCCGTGTTTCACTTACACACCAAACATAACGTGACCTAACGTCGTCTAACCTAATTTAACCCAAATTAACCTAACCTAACCCAACTTAACCTAACCTAACGTAATCTAACCATACCTAACCTAATATAACTTAACCGGACCTAACCTAACCTAACCAAGCTAACGTAAAAAAAAAAATAACTTAACCCAACCTAACGTAATCTAACCAGACCTAACCTACCTAAGCCGAAGCCTAAGCCGACTCTGCATCACAATGTCTCGCACGCATTCAAACGCAGGTGTAAGAAGAATTGGTCACTGTCAACGTTAAGATGTTCTTCCTGGAAAAAAAAAACCTTCCCAATGTAAGTGAAAAATAATCCATCAGACAGGTCAGGAATGGCGGGTTTTTGGGCTGGCTAAAATGCAATTCAAATTATTCACCTCACTGGACGGGTCACCTGATGATTAGCCCCCCTAAACTTATTTTATCAAACCAAACCTAATGTAACCAAACCTAACCTAACCTAACCTAACCATCCTAACTCAAACCTAATGTAATATAACCTAACCTTATCTAATCAGCCTAACGCAAACCTAATCCATCCTAACTTAACCTAACCCCCAAGTAGCATTACGGTGGTTAATTATCACATTATACACCACCAAGCTGACGCTCTGCTGACACTACCTCCCCCACCCACCTCCATGTATGCCTGACCAATGAGAATTATGGAAAAGTAGCGTTACCTGCTCTAATTGGTCCACCTCCAGGATGACGTTCACTAGTGTCCTTATCTCTACTACCTTCCTATACTGAGCCTGGTAACCTAACCTAACCGAAATTTTAACCATACTTGGCATAATTTTTGCCTAACTTAATCTACAATTCAAATTTAACCAACTATAGTACAAAGATGACAATTTCATGACGCCATGGTGGGTTTAGACCAATCATCGCACGTAACGGTAGACAAGGACCAATCAACGCACGTTATGATGTACACAAGGGACGAATCAGCGTAAGTCATGCCCACATCATTAGGTAATTGCCAAGTCGCTGCCCACGCCACGCATAATTCTGCATGAGAAGGCAGACAGTAAAATTAATGGCTTCTCATTTAAACCAACGGTCTCGCTAACGTGTTCCTAAAATAGAACTCTTCCTCGATTTTCAAGGTTATGTAGTGCGTTGTGAGGCTCTGATGACGAGATTTGGCAACACAAGAACATTTGTCAACAACCATAGACGTGGCAACACTGGAACACTTATCAACAACCCGAGACGTGGCAGCTGGAACACTTGTCAACACCCCTAAACTTGGCAACACTGGGGAACACTTGGCAACACTGGGAACACTTGTCAACACCCTTAAACTTGGCAACATTGGGGAACACTTGTCAACACTGGGAACACCCTTAAACTTGGCAACATTGGGGAACACTTGTCAACACTGGGAACACTTGTCAACACCCTTAAACTTGGCACACCGGAACACTTGTCAACACCCCGAGACGTGGCACCATCTGACTAGTCCGTATAATCCACTTTTAACCTTCATTAACGCTGCAATAAAGGCCAGGACGTCAGGTGAGGTTAATACAGTAGTTAGTTATTCGTGGAAACCATTACTAAGGACCCAACTACTCGTACATCAGAGAAGCTAAAAAATAATGATATAATTACACGTCACGGCGCGGCTCCTCCTTTATCTTGTCTCTTGATCTGTAGTCGTCCATTTTTTCACTATTTTCTGGGGTTTTTTATTTTATTTTAAACTGCATGATGAGGAGATATCTAGCGGCATCTGTGTGTGTCTCTGTCCGTGGATGAATCTCGTACGCAAGTCTTGTGTTTTATAAATAATTTTGATGAACGTTGATGTGACTTAAGTGCCCATAACTTAGAAAAAGTCAGTTAACACAAGGAGGATGTTTCTGATTGTAATTCATATAACTAATACTAAATTCGCATAACACAAATTAATAACACCAGCATGACTAGTATAAATAAATAAATAAAATACGTGCACACAACCCCATCATCCCAAACAGTTTTCCCGCCCTCAGGAGTAATAATGGTAGCGGGGAAGGAGCCCGGGCCGACACCCCTGGGCGTCCCGGGAAATGTTTCATCACTCCCGGCACTATTTACAGCCCTTCTGAGGCAGGTGCTTGTGGAGTATTATACCCGGGAGCCTCTTATGTCTATCTTGAGATAATGAGAGCAGTTAAAAGCAATTCTTGGCGCAGTCTCTTATTAAGTCAACCTGGTGCCCGGTTGTTTTATACACAGACTGACAGATAACAGATCTCCACTACAGAAACGCCGGTCGCTGATTGGCTGATTTTCAAACCTGTGACATTATTTGTCTTTACAACAAGTCTGATAAAAGTTGAGGTAGAAATCAATTTGCAATAAAAAACAAAATGAGTTTTACTTCATTTACAAGTTATAATTTTCATCTCTTCTACTATGTTTGTTTTGACTACAACTCGTCTACCTGTACATTAAATAAGACAATCACAACCGTTGTTCGTCTACCGGTTACCTGTTGTCTATGTATATATGACAACAGGGCACCAGCCTACTCAGGCCGCCCTCAACGCTACCAGGATTCAAGGTCACTTGTATCACCAGTCATTACCTTAACTTATTGCCTATAATGAGTGTAATAACTTATAAGAGGCTCACAGACCTCTCATAATAGAGTTTAAGTTAGCGTGCAGCTCACCAGATACTCGACATAATGAGGACCAATAGAGAGGTAGGCACAGTGTAGAAGCCTTCCTTTAATGGTAGCGACAGCAAGCCTAGGGTGTACTTCATACTTAAAATCTTTCTTCTCTTTCAATTTCCTACGATGACCCGAGTATCTACATTTGTGTGACGACTGAATAAATGTGTAAAAAGAATTGAGCTCAAAAGTCTGTCACGCCAACTTATACACCACAAAAATGCAGATATGTTGGGGAGATGTATCAGCCCAACACACCTGTAATTTGGTCAAAGTTAAGGGGTTCAAAGTTAGCATAATAATGATTCATAGTCCCAGATATATTATAAACATCTCCTTCACACAGACACACACAAAGAAAATAAAACATTATTACATACA